TGGACACGTGGAGGACCCCTATTGGTGCTCCAAGATGGCCCATGAGTCATGCCCAGCTCGGATAGCCGAGATGGCTGCCACCAACGCCGGCGAAAGCTAAGTGTGAGGGCCGATGTGAGCTGCTGTCAGCGGCGTGATTATCGGGTGTAACCGACGGTCCCGAGATTACCGGGTGTAACCGATGGTCCCGAGATTACCAGGTGTAACCGTCGCGAGATTGACGGGACTACCACCCATAAGTAGAGGACCTCACTCCACGATCAGGTACGATGATTTCTGACCTCGAACTAAACTAAGAATCCGACCTRTACTGACTTGATCGTCGGAGTGCTCACCTTTTTGTGCAGGTCCGCCACAGGTATTCAGATCGGTCCGGGTTCCGAGTTCGAGCTGCAGTCGGAAATATACTGTTGTGCATATCCTTGCATAAACATACTTGATATTGTAAAAAATACTGCCACACAGTCCAATAAAGGAAGCCATATCAGTCAAACCGTTCAACAAGGATAACACAATTTACAGCTCACAGGCAACAACATTTTCATGGACAGCAGCAATCACAACATTAATTCAAGATTCCATATATCATAAATGACTTGAATGATGTTGTAGAATGAATACTCCCATCTGCTATGAATATTTGGTTTTATCCCTAGCGATTACCTTGATTGCACTTTATAATCTTTCCTTCTATAATTAAGGATTGTACTAATTATGTTATATGTCCCGATCAGWCCAAGATTCTTGGATCTTGATTGAACATATTSAACCTCTCCGCATTTTTCTTTAAAAATAGAAACAGTAGCTTGTAATTTTTCAATTGGATTTTCTGCAATTATACAGAAGAATACATGAGAATCTCATTTCAATTTTATCACTTTTTTTCTAATCCAAGCTCAATTCTGTTTAGATATGCCTCTAATTTACTACTGATATAAATATGATATCTACTAATATGACTTCTTATATGACCTACCACTAATATAACATTGATATATCTATGATATATGATTAATATGCCTATAATTACCACTGATATACCTCTCGTATAACAATGATATCTACTGATATAACTATGTTATTTGTGTGTTGATATAATAGTACTAATATATCCATTAATTTTATTTGTGATGAAAACAATGGTGCAAACAAAGAAAATGAAATCTAAATTGATTGCATGAAGGATTGATCTCAACCATGGATGTCAAAAAAACAAGTTAAAAATCTTAGATGCTTTATAAATTTAAAGAGCTGATATCTCTTATATTTAATATGTAATTAATATTAATATAGATTAAATAGTAGCAATATAGCAATCAAAATTATTGATAATATGAGTATATCAATCAACTAATCGCAGAGATAAACTACAATTTAAATAGGTGATATACTACTGAAATTAAACATTTGATATACCTTATATTTAGTATATCAGTTACAAAAAAAAAAGTATATCATAAATTAGAGATACGTCAGATGTATATCTGTGGTACATGAGCCGCACTAGTGAACTCATCGACGGAAATTTCCAAAATTTGCAGCGCAGTTGTTTGAGTTATAAGAATTTCCAATATGCCGAAGCAATCACTACGTTGCGGATGCCTCTCATCTATGATATCTGCAGCAGTTAATAAGAACCAGGAAGACTAATAAAAATGGGCTCTAAAACACCGAAATTAACCAAATTGACAAAAATGATTCAATACAACTTYCCATTCATAGTGTACTTTATACACTACATTTCATGATATTTAGGTGGAAATTATTTTACAATTTTCGGTCATTTATGGCTTATTTACATGCATAACTAATGTTTTTATAGGATCAAGTCATTAGAAAGAATTGGAGCAAAAGCGTTCGATTGAGGGAAAAYTAGAGCGAAAAAGAGGAGCTTAATTAAGCCACATTAGCACCGCAGTGCCATCATACAGCGCCATGGCGCCCTGCAGACGAAGCTTGGGCATTTTTCCACGATGACAGTGCCGCAGCGCTATATTGTAGCGYCATGGCGCTACGAACTTGCACGTCCATCACAAATCTGGGATAGCGCCATGACGCTCACTAATGRCGCCATGGCGCTGTAGCAATGCCCTAACTTAAAAGAAATTTGAGTGCACCGTTTGGGAGGGTTGGTGGGAACCCTCACATGGGAGAATGGTAAATTGAAGAGGATTGGCTCGAGATTGGAGGCAAGGAGGGCGAGGAGACGATTTTCGAAGGCTCGTGATCGTGGAGATWKAGTCGGGGACAGTCAATCGACACTACGACTTTAGTTTCTCTCCTTTCCCTTATTTTTTCTAGATTTATTATGAAATTCTTCGTGGGACTTTGTTGTATTTTCGTGAACATGAGTAGCTAATCTTCTTGTTCTAGGGATTGACGTAGCCGTTGGATTTATGAGTTGGATTTATTAACATTTGTCTTGATTGATTTGTTTTTAATCTATTTGTGCATTTATTTGCTTAATGCTTTTAATCTCTTGATCACAGATTAATTGTTGCTAAATCTGAATCTTACGCTCGGGAKAGGTGGTTTAGATTGGAACCTGAGTGCATGACTGGGGTAGTTCTAAGATCGGGAGATTTAGAATTACCTTAGAGGTTGTTAAAARACTAAGACTTAAGGCCCTACTTGTTAATGAAACTAGATAGGGATATTGGTTTCTTAGTAAGTGGGAGAATTAATTGTGCTCGGGAGAGACTTTCATGATTCTTGAGTTCTTGACTTATAGATTAATTGCATATTCAATCTTGACATGTTTAATTTGTCCGCTTGTAGGTTCAGTTGGTGAAATCACTCCCCTAAGACCCGTTCTCCATAAGAGTTTTCTTTAGAGTTTCTTATTCGCTTTGTTATTTTATTTTTACGTTCGAAACGTAAATGAAAGAAAAACTATCTACTAAAACCAAATTCTTACATCTGAAGTATTTACAAAATCTACRATCTGGGTTTTGCTAAAAGATGAAAAGGATTATTAATAATCCAGCGGCGATGAAAAAATCCACGAACAAAGGAGAAACCAAAATTAGAATAATGAAATGTCCCAAAATCAAAATTTTTAATGTTGCGTTATATTTGAAAATTAAAAAAAAAACAGTGACATATTTTGAAATATATAAAATAGTTTTGCTATCTAATTACCCAAAAAAAATATATTGAAGATATTTTTGGTATTTTGTGCATAAAAGATGTTTAATTTCCCCCTAGAATTAATAAGTTCATTTTTCATTAATAATTATGAAGAGGAATATGATTCCCAGCAGAACCTTTGGAAAAAGAAAAAGTAGTAATAATAAAAAATTGAGAAGAAAAACGTGTTGCTTAGCTTGATATATAATAACGGCCCTTAAAAAATTGGGAAAAAACATTCCTCTATCTATAAATTCTCTTCCATTTCCATGTGAATCAACATCCAGAAATGTTAGCAATGGCTTCCCTTCCTTCATCCTTCAGCTTCTTCTTCTTGTTCTTCCTTTCTCATTTGAAAGTTATGGTTGAAAGTTCTCCATTGATTCCSGCCATCTACGTCTTTGGAGACTCTTTGGTTGACGTCGGAAACAACAACTACCTCAATATTTTGGCAAAAGCCGATTTTCCTCACAACGGAGTGGACTTTCCAGACCAACAATACACCGGCAGGTTCTCTAATGGAAAAGTCGTTCCCGATTTTCTCGGTACCATCCATTCTACTCATCYACCAACCACCGTTAAAAAAATTGATAGGTGTTGAAAAATATAATTTCCGCTTATACATTTCTCTCCTAATTGTGTCAAACATATGGCTTAAAACATAACAACTGGTAGGAGATACTATACTACTGACTCTAGTCACTAGCTAGCTACTTTTTTTTGGTCTAATACATAGCATTGTTTAAATAAAATAAAAAAAGTTTAAACTTTTTTCTAGTAAAAACATACACGTTATGAATCCGATGTAGTAGTTAATTTTTTAAAAAGCTGAGCAAGCATGATTTTAGTTTAGCGGTAATTAGTATATATCTCTGATCAAGACGCCATGAATTCAAATCTCCCACCYCAATTATTGTATTAAAGGAAATTTTTTGAACAGCTGAGGAGGTGGGTTTGCCACTTCTACCACCATATCTCTCCCTTGTAGACGGGAACGGAACCATAACAAATGCGACTTCGTTTATAACCGGCGTCAACTTCGCCTCAGGAGGATCTGGAATTTTGAACGAAACAAGACTAGGTTTTGTAAGTTCCATGCTGATCTCTTCCTATATATATATTTTCTATATATTATTTGAATGGAGAAAGAAAAGAGAGAAAATAACCAATAACTTTTGTTCTTTTGTTTTTTGTTTAAAGAACAAGGTTCAGATTAAAAATAATATCGAGATGGTAGAGATTGAGAGAGACCGACCGATGCCGATGAGCCAACAAATAGATTTATATTCATCAGTGTATGAATATGTAGTAGAAGAGCTGGGATCCGATGCGGCACAAGCACACTTTTCCAAATCCCTGTTGGTGATTGTGGTTGGAAGCAACGACCTGTTCAGTTATTATATGACTGATGCGCACAATGATACCACCCCACAGGAATATGTGGACTTGATGGCCTCCACCTTTGAGTCGGAGCTTAAGGTAATTATTTTAAGAATGACATAACTATAAGCAATAATATTATAGTTTTATAACATTTTCATGTAATTAAATTCTGCTGCATTTTGGAACAACAGCTTTTATACAAGTATGGAGCAAGAAAATTTGTGGCGACTGCAGTTCCATTATTAGGGTGCACTCCATCACAGAGGATGAGCATCCCAGGGGAAGAATGCAAAGATGAAATGAATTACTGGGCTGGAAAGTACAATATTGCCCTTCGGTTATTGTTACAGAGATTGGAAGTGGACCTCCCTGGCTTTTCCTACTCCTATGCTGACATATATGCCATCACCTCTGATATTATGCAAACTCCATCTTCTTATGGTGACATTATTGTGCTATTTTTGTTAAACTTTATGCTTTTCGTTATATTTGAAAATATATATTTTATATTGTATGTTTGGGTAAATGTCTCAAATGTGGTGTGTTCATTTCAGGATTCACAGAAATTAAAGCAGCCTGTTGTGGGCTTGGGCCGTTGAACGCTCTAATTCCCTGCATACCGTTGGCGTCTCTTTGCCCAAATCGAAATGACCACCTCTTTTGGGACCCATTCCATCCCACCCAAAAAGTCAATCACATCGTTGTTGATTACATATTTAATGGATCTAATTTCACGTACCCGATCAATATCAAGGAGCTCATTGATAAACCCACAAAAAGTATTGGGTATCAATATTACTAGCGTTCTAAACAAAGTAGAAGCTAAATAAGTGTACCAATCATGTAATCATCTCTTGTCAATGAAGAAGAACATGTACTTGAGTACTATATTTATGTTAGTGTTTTTAGTTGTTGCAAAAATATTTTTTTTGAATTGTTAAAAACATTCTCGAACTCAAATGTTTACTAGAAAAGTAAAAAAATCCTTAATAGTGCTTTCTAAAAAGTGACTGAGGACGTATGTGTAAGTGTTGGTAGAACGAGTATTTTGAAAAAATTAATTTAAGTAAAATTGATTTTTCAAAATCACCATCATGATCCTTAAAAATCAATTTAAAGTGATTTTAAACATTTTCTAAAACAATTTATGGAATGGGTATAGACTTTAATAGTGAACGAAGACCACTTCTCCATATGAAACCAATGACATAAAAGACAGATACCGAGACAAAGAGCTAGACTTCTGTATTGCGTTGCGAATACGAAGATTTTCTGACGCAGTGTGGGTTGCTGGAAACGGGAGTGATTCCGACAAATACAAAAACCATTTTTTCATACCAAAATTACTCTCAAACACGCTATAAATCTCCTTTGCTAAGATCACTCCTTCGAAAAGCATTTCCAAACCGCTTGATTGGTATAATAAGTATTTTTAGCTTAAAAGTTCCTTATTGATTTCTCACTTGACAGGTAAGCTAATTACTTTTTATATATACTGACTGAAATATTTTCTACAAACCTTTTTTTCACTTTAATATTTTCTACACAGATACTATCTCACCAATTTATTTTTGCCTACACTTTCTCTCGTTTCCTTCGGCTCCACTTGTATTTTTTCTTTCAATTAACCACTCTCTTTATTATATCAACTTTCTTTTACTGATTTATCTCTACCAAATTCATCTCTTACTAATCTCCTTTACACACTTTCTCTTAATTAATTTTTTTCATATACTGTTTTATTTTTAACTTTTTTCATTCTAAACTCCACTGGATAACATTTTCATTTTTATATTCTTTATATTTTTTAAGATTATGTATATTTTTTCATAATATGTTTTTTTACCTTTGTTTTAAGACACATTTAAATTTATAGCCGAATTTTATAAAATAAAACAAAAATAAGTTTTCAAAAACTATATATATTTTTTCTAGTTTTCAAAATATGCTTAGATTTTGAAAAATATTTTTTACAAATGGATAACAAAACGACAATCGAAGTATAGCTCAACAGGTTAAGGCACCTATGTACGGTCGAATGGTCATGAATTTGAATCATCACCACTACATATTGTACTAAAAAAAAGTAGACAACAAAACCTAGGAAGTCATAGGTGTAAGCACGGTTTATAAACTTAAATTTTGAAAATATTTTTACGAACTAGATAACAAACATAAGAAGATAAGGTGTATGTAATGTTTATAAGTTAAATTTTCAAAAATTAAAAACAAAAAACAAATGGTTATCAAAGGGGCCGTAGGATGCATTTGGGCAAGGAGTGAAGTCCACTTGGCTCCTTCAGAAGTAGGAACTTAATTAGATACCGTTGTCCCAAAACTCCAACACAGATTCACTAGCATGCATCACTGCGATGTACAAGACCGACCTCACCCACGAAGTCAGCGTAGAGATGCTCACCCAGCCGAGCATTTAAGTGTTCTTCACATAGAGTAAATTTATGTTGGGTGACCTTCTAGGAAGTTTACGTAATCAGAAAGTGAGTGAAGACAAAGTGTATTATCTGTATTCGTCCGTAGAGACAATGTTTACTCCGAAAACGAACTTAAGTCGCAATCTATATTTCAAATTCGAGATCAAGCCATCATGAAATATAAAAATTCCAAAAAAACTATCAATTCCATGGAGACAAAAATCAAGTTTGATGCACACAAAATTAAGTCAAAGTATATGATCAAAATTTAATTGATCATTAATAAATCTTTTACAACTTATAAATTTCAACGAAAACAGACTTTAATATTGTTTTTCCTACAAAATCTAATTAATTTCATACTAAGCCTATATTTTGCAATTCATTAAACCTATACAACAACGTTACTGTGCAAGCCTCGTATAAAACCACAATTCAATTTGAATATTAAATTAAAATTATCATTTTATAGTAAAAAAGTTATAGTTTCTCGTGTCTTTCTACCTGGTAATGTTACATATTAATACAATATCTTTTAGACATTTGTGCTATCTTTGTTGTGTCATAAAACATGTGCCATTTAGATGGGTCATGATGGGTGTGCCATCCAATTATATGCTTGATTTCTAGTTTCTCATCACGTGCACTCTCTTGTAACATGTGCCCAATTTTCTTTTGAAATTCTATTTATTTGATCCAGTCACCTCTTTAATCTATAATTTGGTTGGATTATTATGGACTCATTGTCCCCATTTGTACGTTTTAAGGATTCTAAGATGAAAACAACAAATTTCGATTTATTATTACTTAATTATTATCCCCAACATAGCATGTGAGGGTTGGGGTTTGGCTACCATCCCTCTATATTAATAAATTAATTAGATTCTTTTTAGAGGAACTATATAAAAATAGAAAAGTACTTCCAACATCTTGCATGCTAGGTTTAAAAAATGAATGTACTCCTTTTTAATAAATATAAAACTTATATTTAAAAATATATTATTCTCTTACTATGCAAGTAAAATTCTTTTTGTGTGAGGTGGAGCATAATTTTTCTTCACCAGTCAGTCGACATTTTTAGTTGTTCTTTTCAAATGTTTTTAGGGATGAAAAGGAAATATATAAACATAGCTTGTAGTTTTAATAGGTATATATTTATTAAGTTTGAGATTAGAAAATTTGAGTTTATATAGCATGTGTTTTAATGGTAAAAAGAACAATAAATTATAGAAACTTGAATTGGTATAACTTTGCAAAAAGTTAGTAAGTCGTCTAACATTTTTATTTGATGTGCGAGCTCAAAATTGTTAAGCCTTGAATTTGGTTGAAAGAATCTATAAGCCTCCTGGAGAAGGTCCTACACATATTGGGCCAAAACATTCACAATAGAGGCACATTCTGCCATAGGCGCTTGAGGTGTTAAATCTACCCAACCCTTCCCTTTACTCTTTGAGCGACGTGGAAGCCATTGTTCAATTATCAACATTCTCAAATTCTAAGAGATGTGCAGAGTGGACGACAGTGCCCCCTTCACATCCTTATAAAGCGGGCCCTCCCCTTTTTGACTGGACTGACTCTCAAGGTCAATCTCCTCCAGGTTTTCTTCGCTCCACGAATGAGAGCTAAACTTAGAGGAAAAAACACGTTCTCTCTTTGCGAGGTCCGAAAGTGGAGAAGCTAAGACCCTTCCAATGCTCCGTTTCACCATGCATAAACTGCATCAAGTAAGCTAGTACTTCTAGTAAAGTTCACTCCTTTGGTATTGAAACAACTCTGATTTTAACAGCAGCAATTTCCTTCTTCTTTACTATTACAGCGGGAGATAGGGCTAAACAAAGCGAAAAGGGGTTTCCATGAGATGGGGGGAGTGTTTAAAGTTCGGGTTATCTCTCTGAATCAGCTTATCCACTGGAGACAATTCGATTGGCTTCACTCCTTCTGGTAATGGGACAAGTTACCCACTGGATCCAAGAGGTAAGGGCTTTGTCTGCCCTTTCTCATAAAGAATTCTGGCTTGGCCTGGGAAAGCAATCGAAGCGGGACGAAGGGCAATGACACGAAATGCATGAAGAGGTTTCATTCAAGATACCAGGAAACCAAATGAAGGAAGACCCCGCAAAATCCTAGTTTTAGGTCTCGTCACATCAATTAGCTCGTGGAGAATATCCAACAACCGATTCCAATGAGTGAATAATGGACCTAGATCCTAAAAACAACAACGCTCCTCATCCTATCCCCATGAGTCTAACAAAGTGCGGACACGAGTCCTAGTCGTTGCGCAGCGGTGCGGCTCACGTCCTCTGGCTCATGCACCGGAATCTTTCACCCACCATTTTTTATTATATAGGAATGAAGATGCTCTTGACTCGACATTATTTGTTCTGTTCCATTCGAGCTCTCATTTAAGTCAATAACTAGAAGGAAAAAAAATGGGAATACCAACACATCTGGGAATAAACGATTGGTTTTTGCTAGAGAGATTTTTTTAGAAAGATTCTCACTTAATGGCTGCCGCTTAATGCTCTGGCGCTCTGAATCTCGAAGGTCTTGGTAGGATTCTTACTTGCTGGCCCAGCCCTCGTCGTATCTAGTTTGGTATTGCTACCGCACATGACTTCAGAAGTCATGATGATATTACTAAAGAACGTCTTTATCAAAATATTTTTGCTGCCTAAGGGCATATCAGTTGAAGTAGATTCTTCTTTTTGATCAATCAAAACTCCTTCCTAAAGTGTACAAGCTTCTTCCAAAGCATACGGTGCTGAATATGCAACAGCAATCCAACGACGCATACCCGGACGGAAACTAAGTTCCCACTCTCGACCCATGTAACATGCTACACCAAGTAAGAAGCGTAGAATGACATCCTGGGTTGTTTAGTGATGTCTCCGGCAGCCTTCCTGGGATCTCCAGATCAAATAATTCGCGGTCACGCTTATCCCGGACTGCGTTCTGGAAAAAATTGGCCTACTTGAGAGAAAGGGCGAGCACTCTCGTGGGAAGTGAAGTTAGCCTTCGTGATTCAGATGTTGCTGCTGCTGACATGCAAACCATTGAAGATGGTCCTCGGGGCGAAGAGCTTGAACCAGATAACAATCCCCAAGCTTCTGTTCTTCTTGTTGGTTTTTCTTCCTCACTCTCATTCAAAATGTCAGTCAGTGATTGCGCCATAACAGAGTGCATTAGGGCAGTAGAGATGCCCACGCTTCCTCCTCTGCTTTGAGAACCGTGTGAACGAAGAGTGGGCAGAAGGGAAAAAGGTTCTCATAGAGCTGTGTGGGACAAAATCACCTATCTCATAGTGTTGCTTAGTGCTCAGGTGCATCCTACTGGGTGTTCAGTAGTTCTATGGCCAACGAATGCTCATTCTGTTGATGCATGAGGTATGGCGTAGAAGCCCTTCTCGATCTCATAGGGCTGATCCGTCGGAAAGAAGATAGAAAGA